GACACCGCGCGCTGGTGGTTATTTGCATTGTTGGCGTCTCATCACAGTCGATCGCAGTGAGGACGCGATGCTACACTCGGACGTAGCTTGTACCATGACGTTGGCTGTGATGCGAGCATGGTGAGACTGCGCGCTGGTGGTTGTTTGTATTGTCGGCGTCTCATCACAGTCGATCGCAGTGAGAACCCGATGCTACACTCGGACGTAGCTTGTACCATGACGTTGGCTGTGATGCGAGCATGGTGAGACTGCGCGCTGGTGGTTGTTTGCATTGTTGGCGTCTCATCACAGTCGATCGCAGTGAGGACCCGATGCTACACTCGGACGTAGCTTCAAACCATCCATGGTAGTCTCCTACACCCTGCTTTTCATCCATTTTTTGTGACAGATCAATGGCATATAAGGTGAACAGTAATCTAATGTGCATATGTAATGTAATGCGCAAATGTGGCGCAATGCACATAAATAATGTAATGCGCAGCACGATGAAAGCTGTACGCTTCATCTGCGAAGCTTCTATGTTCACTCGACGCAAAGTTGTCTTCAGAAGGGCAAGAAAAATTTTACCACGAGGCCTCATAGTAAGCATGAATATTCCTCTGCCGTGGCTGGTTGTTGGTACTATCGGTAATTTATTGACCAACGTTCTGGAGCATGACATTAGCTCGCTACTTTCACGTCAATTATGTGTGTGCCTCGGACCACTGCCATTAACGATGCAGCCGAAAAAGGAATGGAACGTGGAACAGAGATAGGTACTAAGGCGACATCTGGAGAGCGAACGGCAGCGATCTTTGAATGCACAAGTTTAAATGAATGACTGAGTTTGAATACAGATTGCGGTTCGGTGCTTGTTTAGGATTTGTGCTCGAGTCATTTGAAATAATACTGCAATGTTAGTCTTGTGTAGCAGCTCAAAATTTGGACCGGTTAATGCAGCTTTATCGTTCAGGTCGTGTAGAAGCATGTATTTAGCATCATTCAGGAAAGCCCAATAAAGCATTCATGCAGTGTTGTGGTTGTCGTAAACATATCCAGGTGCGTTGATCTGGTGCTGCGTCGGCGTCGTATTCGTTCCAACACATGGCAGGAGACCTGGCGAGGGCTGGCGTGTTTAAACTCCTGAAGCTTGATAAAATATGGCTTAATGCTTATGACACGCTAGACATCTATCACTAGATTTGGGACGCTTCTCACCCCTTGCGCTGAATTGGAGTACCCGACGCTGTTGGGCATGCTTTAACCATGCTAGCAGCCCTGCAACCACTATAAATGAACTTTCGGAACTGATGGTGGTGTGTAACTGGCTAGTTGTCAAATGCGTGGAGGACAACGACCGAGTTAATATTTGGCCCAGGCCGATTATTAACATTCCGGCCCAATATTCGCCAGGGACAAATTTGAGTGTTCGGTAATTTCTAAGATATTGTACGGAACCCCGCGCTGGTTTCAAGTGCCGCCACGTACGTGTCTGATTCCGAGCATAAGTCATACGCCGACGGCAGAATCATACATTAACAACGAGCATTCGCTCTTCAGTAATGGTGCCAGCCAGTTGCCAGCGACCTAGCAATGCTTAAAATATTGCTACCATGCCGCTTCATCCTGTCAGCAATTATCTGCTGTTAATAGCAGTTAGTACACCCTACAAAACCTTCATCACACCGGCTTGCGGAATTCGACCAGTGGTACGCTAGCAGTGTGAATGCCAGTAGTGCGCTGTGGAGGCAAACGGACAGGAGCGAGGTCATAGTAGACGATGTTCGTGACATCATCCGCCTTTTTTGTCGACTCACGCTCCATCCGACGTCCCCGCAGCACCTTGTCGTGCCGGGGCACGCCGCAGCCGACCCCGGCCGATCTCGTGAGCGTCATCAGGAGCCCCGCCCGAACGCCTGCACGAGCCTGGCCTGAGTTCCCCGTCCGGGCTGACTCTTGTCGTATGTGTAGAACAGGCAGGCTGTGGTGTTACCCCAGTTCACACAGCGGGCGTTCTGCTTCCACGCAGCAGTTGTGCTCATTCAGCGAGTGGTGCGTGGTGAGGTGTGGCATCCTGATCTGAGCCTTAGTCTAGCAAATAACTTTGCTCATCTAAGCTGATTTTTTATGGATTTGCAAGCATTTGGTAACAAACCCTGCCACGCGTCACGAATGTAGTATTTGAGATGTATACAAACAGCACGTTTTGGACTAACAATGCTTCAAAAAATCTGTGAACCCTTCCGAGTATTTTCTGGGACGAGAACACCTTAAACACTTTCCGTACATTGGCATGCTCCCAATGCATGGGCATGCTCGCCCACATACCTTTGTCTCCACGTCCATTTTGAAAACCGTCATACAACATTCAGCGATCCACAGTCTGTAATTATGTCGGCGCGGCTGTGCGCCGCGGCGAGGCTCGGCACCAGTGAAGATTGAGTCGCCCGACCGGCGTTGTCAAGCGGGGCCACAAAGAAGCCGCGAGACCGAAGCGTTGCTGAGATACGAGGCCTCTCCA